AGAGAATGAGGATAAAAGGGAAGAAAAAGAGCAAGAAGGGTCCACGCAAAGACCAGAAAATGTGCTGAATCAAACAGAAGAGTAAGTTAGCCTTCTGCAACCGGGGCCCAGACTAAGGGAAACAAAGCAACAAAGAAAAAAAGAAGGTAATGGGCTGGGCAGAAGCTGGGAAAGCTGTTTCCAAGATGCACACGGCTTGGTCGTTTGTTTGAAGGAAATAGTTTTCCCACATGACGAGAGGCTCCACAGAGGAGGTAGGGGCTAAGCAGGGGGGCAGCCGAGAGTGAAACCTCTGAGTATGAGGACCCAGTGCCTTGAGGGCCTCGTGGTACAGAACCCATCTTAAATTACAGCAGTCCCCTCTTAGCCGCTAGTTCACTTCCTGCAGCTTCCGTTATTCTTGGTACATATTCTGAAAGAGAAATACCACCGTCACATAACTTTGATTACAGTATATTGTTGGCACTGTTCTCTTTTATTATTGTTGTTCATCTTTTACCGTGCCTAATTTATAAGTAAAATTTTATCCCTGGTATGTATGATCAGGAAAACATACAGAATACATAGAGTTTGATACTCTGCAATTTCAGGCATTGATTGGGGGTCTGGAGCGTGTATCCCATGGCTAAGGCGGGTCTGCTGTAGATACCTAGAAACTCTTCCCACTGTCTTGTCCAGTACTAGGGTTTATGAGGAATTAAGAATCTGCCCACTTGGGGGCCGGCATGTGGCATGTGATTAAGGCATTAGACTTCGATTAGACTTCCACGTGGTCTAGTCCTGCTCAAAATCCAGAGAGGAGAATGGATTGCGGTGTGGCCATCCCTCCATGGGGTGATTTCTCACTTTCTGTCTCTCCAGCAAGAACATGCGCTCTGTAGCAAAAATCTCTCAACAACAACAACAAATCTGCCCACTTGGGAACACCCCATGGAAAATGGGGCCTCTTTCTGAGGCTGTGAGGTGGGGCCACAGGGGCCCAGGGAGAGTGGGTGGCAGCAAAACTGCTGAGCAGCAGCCTGGCTGAGGCTGCAGGATGGCATAGAGGTAAACTAGGACTGCTCTGAGGCCAGCCCAGGTAGAAAGTGTCCTGGTTCACAGAGAGACGCCAGGCACAGGTGTGCCCATGGCCCAGGGCCGCCTGAGGAAGGAGTGGGTCACAGCGTTGGGACCCTGTTCGGGTGCTCTCTCTCCTCTGTCTTTCATTGAAGAGATAAATAGACTTGAAACAAAATTAAAACCCAAGCTGGGCTGGGGGCCCAGACTGTCAGAGGGGTGGGTAATCTGAGGGTGAGCTGCTGAAGAAGGGGGTTGTAGTTTCTACCACAGTTCAGTGAAGCGGAGTGCATATTCAGAGAAACCCACTGCACCCCGAATGTCGCAGATCATAATTTTTCCATAAAACTAGGATGATAATAATGGACTATTCTTTAATATCCTTTTGGCATGGAGTAGCATTATGTCAACATTTTCTATATTACTAATATTCTGTAACACGTATTCTTTTATAATACTGTGTAATGATCTTCTAGGTGTATGCCAGTTACTGTTTTTTTTTTTTTTGCAAGAGGGCAC